TTTTTTTTGCTTAGGAGCTATAAAATCTATCCATGCCGGTTTACACTAGTTACATCAACGTTAAAAATTGTAGTTATTTATTAAACTGACACTGCCCCCTTGATTACATCCATATATGACGCGTCTCTCTGAAACATACTTCAAAACTGTTCGCCGACGAACTTCTTCACTGGGTGAAATTCGCACGTTTACGCCCCTAAGTGCACGAATGGATATTCACACGCACCTACAAGTAAAGTGACATTCACACACTTGCGTTTTCAGAACAGCTCGATGCGAACATGTTCGCTCATCTCCATAGAGCGGTATTACTCTCAAGAGCCAGCGGCAGCCAAGCAGGCCCCCTTGCCTAACGGAGTTGCCAGCTCCACTTCGCTGCGCTGGCAGCTCTGTTTGGAGGGACGGCGGACTTTCTCAGTGAGTCTCAGCAGGTCTCAGCGACGGGCGACGGCGGCGTGCGACCTGCGGCGTGCTGCGGGGCGCGTCATACAGGCCGAGCGAAAGGTTACGCGGGGTCAGTCGCCTAGCCGGCCGGGTGTTGTAAGCGCAGTCGCGGCGCGCTCACAAAGCGAAGCAAAGCCCCGCTGCGGCGTCGTGACGTCATCTCGGGGGATGAGAAACTCGTCGGTCGGCGCGCCGCGCGTCTTCGCGTCGCTGTCTTTGGGTCGCATTCATCAGTCCGTTCGAAGAGGCCCGTGCCGCGGCTTGTCCCTGCTGCCGCCGCGCTGCTGACGGCCGCGGATTGGACGATGCCGATGTTGATGGCGCGAGGGGCGGCGTGGCGCGATGCTGCGCTGCGCTCCCCCAGCTCCTTATCGCCACGGTCGGGATGGGGCGCGGCGACCCAAGACGGGGCAACGCGAGGCAGATCAGCATCGTGCACGCGGGCATGAACGATGAACAATCAATCAAATGCGACCGGCCGATGTGGCGTTAGGACACTTTCGATAATCCCAACGCTCGCGTGGTGACAGCGCGGGGGGGCTGCCGTTATCCGTCGTCCCATCCAGAAAAACGAAAAGTTTTCAGCAACCAGCGTATGGTTACTGCGGGCACAATCATAAAATATGGTTGAGGCAACAACAGCACATGTAACAATAACAACCAATAACACGGTTTTGAACAAGCAGGTCGTCGACTCAACCATAGTTTAAAAGACCCCCCCTGAAAGAACCAAGATATGGTTCCGACAACTTTTCATTTTTCTAGGTGCCTCGTCGGGCGCAGGGACTACTTCGAGCTTTTACGTGTCGATTGCAATGGCGTTTGCCATGTGAATGTGACATTTCACTTTCAACAACAATGGAGAGATGAAAGGAAGGGCTGTAGTTTTGAGTGAACATTTGGAAATGTTGAACAAGTAGCCTCAGTTGGAAATTTCACATAGATAAATATTTTTAACAACAATACAGAAACCTTAAAATTTATAATTATCTTCTTCAACTCTTTTTGATGATTTAATTTAAATACGTCAAACTTTTTCAGAATAACATTTCCAAGCATCACTCGTCAGCTGCACCTCATGCGCTTCGCGCCCTCCGTCCAAGTCCAGTGAGACTGCAGGGCGGTGGTGTCCTAAAGGGCTGAGCAGCTGGAGCCGGCTCCGGCGCGCGGCGGCGGCAGCGCCGCTCACTTGAGCCGAGCACGGCGCGGCCGGGCTGCCGCTGGCTCGCGCGCCACGGGCTGCTATCCCGGCCCGCACACGGCCGCCCGCCCGGCTTGAGTCCGCACGTCGCCGCGTCCCGCCGCCCTCCGCCGCGCAGAGCAGCGCCGGCGGTTCGACCACCTCGCGCGCGGTCGCGGTCCTAACGTGCGCGCGTTCGTCGCGTCTGTTGTGTGTCGAGTGTGTGTGTGTGTGTGTGTGTGTGTGTGTGTGTGTCAAGTGTCGTGCGTGTGACTCGTGAGTGTGGTGTGCGCGTGCTGCTGCTGCACCTCCTCGCCCTCCAGCCGCTGTGCGCGTGGAGCTCGCCGCGTTATTCGCCCTCAGACACGCGGGCTGCCGATAACGTCTGCAGCGGTGCAATCATCCAGGACCACCCACCAACCACTGATCCAATCACCCCCTGTGACGTGACCACCACCGCCGCCACCACCACCAGGAATGTCGTGTCGTGCAGTGAATGTGTTCAAAGTGCCGCGGTGCACCGCCAGCGCCGCCCGCCCTCCCGGCCCCTCGAATCTCAGCGACTAACAGCTGACCTCATGGAGTGGTGAGTGCATGGCCCATCATCGGGCAGAGGGAGGGAGAGGAGAGGGGGCGATGGCGCAATGACGTGACGCCCGCCCGATAATTGGGGGGAAAATGACGACAGCGAGTCATTCTCTCCGCACTGACGTCCACGCCGCCGTGACACCGTCTCGATTGCATTTTGCCCCCTCATGGCGATGCGACGCCCGCGGCGGCCAGCCGATTGTCCAGCGGCGGCTGGCTGCCTGGGCGGTAATGAGAAACAGGCTGCCAATTAATTAGCGAGTTTTGCATTTCTAATGGGTGTCCAGTGTGTTGTTCTGATCTGAAGGATCGGACAAATCGGAGCACAGAACAGAGCGAGCCGTCGGGTGGGTGAGCTAGGGGCGGCACTCGTGAGGAGATAGCGCGCCGAGCCGAGCGTGGCATCACGAGAGCAGAATGAGAGATAATTCAATCTTGTTGCACGAACCAGCGGTGGCGCTCAGCCATGGCCGTGCACTGACTCGCTCTCCCACAACGCGGGTGGGTGGCCGTTAGGCGACGTACGTCATTTAACGAATAGACTTGACGAGTGGGAGAGCTGTCGTCAGAAATGACAGCTGGCATGAAAAAATAATAATCTGGGTTCCTGGTTACTGGAAGAATTGACCATCGCCATAATATGCTCTGCCACAAAACGTTAGCCTCTCCTGGATTGGCCTACACCATGGCATGTGGCATATATCTGTTTCACCTTGATGTACTGCTGACAACTCATTAATCTTTTCACTTTGTCTTCGCCGGGTACATGTGTCCCTTCCAAACATTCTGTCTCAGCGCGATGTTGTTGTCCCGCCGAGATAAAAGATCAGGACCGCTTAATGCTGGCGAGAGGAACCCTCGGGTTCGCGGAACAAGAATTTCCATCTCTTCTACAGATGAAGTGAAATGTGCCATTGGCGAACGCGAGGTACTCCTCTTGCCTTCGATAAGTCGTACTTCATCTGCTCATATAATGTGACCTCTGCAATGCAAGAATGGCCATCGCACGAGTGCTCACGCTCACGAGCGAATCACGCCTCAGTTCCGGTTGTCTCCGGCACGTTTTAAGTAGCGTGACCGCGGCCGGGTCTCACCCAGCAATTTCTCATAGAAAGTCCTTCAACGCAGCTGGCCGGCTGTGCGCGGCACGGCGCAGCCCGGTGCGCCGTGCGGTACGGCCCGGGAGTGAAAGGCGATTTGTGGCGCGGTCACAGCCGGTCAGAGGCGGTCATAGGATGATGGCCGGTCCTCTGGCCGGCCCATGGCTCGTTTGGCAATGGCATGACATGCAGCGTCCAACTGCTGCCGTCAGCTGTCCAAACACCGGCCGCCTTCACATCACGATTGTTTTGTTTTTGGGCCGGACCGATCCGTGGTACCCAATCCCCCTCTCCTCGTCTACACCCAGATCCTACTCTCCTCCTTAGCAGAACCTTCTCCCCATTTTTTTCGCCCCGTTTGCGTCATTTCTCGAAGAGTTCCGCCTCATCGTGACTGACCGACAACGACGGACGGGCACGCCAAATTTTCAACCGTCACCCTGTCCGCGAAAAATAAATAAGTCAGTGGACCCTACCTAAAAATACTAAACATGATGCGATTGTCTTTCTTTATTTTTTGTGCTTGTTTTGGTTTTGCATTTGAACTAATGAATACCGGCGAGCATCTGCCATTGTCGGCACGGCGGCGCAAATAAACCGTGTACGGGCGGAGGTGAAAAACGAGCAAGTTAGTGACGTAACTGATAATGCGGCTGGCGGACGGGATCACCTTTCCACCTGTCAAACGTCACTGATCGCTTCGCACAAACAAATAGATAGACAGCTGCGCGGGCGCCTGCAGCAGTATAGTCTGGGGGATCGCAATGCTAATTTAAAGGCCTGTTAGAGCTGACCTCACTGCTGGTTTGGATAGCCGAGGCCGGCCCGAGTCCTGCGGGCCGCTTTGCTTGTGGTCAGCTCTGGTATATTGCCGGTCGACCCTATCGTTTGCGCCGGCCCCTATACGCCTCGCACGCGCTTACCGCACCTCCCCTTTCGGCGAGACCATCTTCAAGCTTGAGCGCGCTTGCCGTGTCCTAAGCAAAGTAACAAGACGAATGGACCAAGTCTGTGTGCGTCTCGCCCCCATTCATCTCGCTGGAGGGGAGTGGGGAGGGGGGG